GACAAATGAGTTTTCGCAAGTTAAATAACAAAAATGTTTGTAAAAAACATAATTTTGATAAATAGCAACTCAAAGAAGCAACTTTAAGATAAAAAAAAAGTCATTTTTAACAAGAACTATCATTATTTAATTAATAAATTAATTGTCAAAGTGACATATAGTTGTCAAATAAATAAAACTGCCAATGTGATAAGACTTAAAAAGCAAAGAAAAATTCTTCTAAATCCAAAATCGAGAGATAATGAAGTTTTAATTTCAAATTTGCTCGTTTCAGGTGAAGCAAAAAATGTTTATCCTTTGGATTTTTGTCGTAAAATGAAAGATATTTTTTTTCCTCTTGTAAACTCAATCCGAGGACATACTGTATATTAATTACTTCTTTTAATAAAAAAAAAACAATTAAAAGGGTTGATTACGTACTTTGTTAATGCTTTAATTATTTATTAAAGTAATCGTAATCGTAAAAATTTAAACGTAAAACCGCAAGAAATTCAAAACATAAAGGAAAACGTAAAAAGTAGAAATGAAGCATAAAGATGTAGAAATATGAAAGTAAAAAGTATGTAGGTGAGACATTAAAACAGAACTTAAAAGAACATAATGTAAAAATGTAGGAGTGTTAAAGACGTAAGTATGTATAAGGTACAACATATCTTACGTATGTTACGTAAGATTCCTGTAGTAAAGGATGTTGAAAATGTAGATATATTGAAACTTTGAGAAAAAAAAACCTAAGATGATTAAAAACGTAAAAAACAAGATGAGAAAATGAAAAAATGTTAGATTGTTATACGAATTAAAGTGAGTATTATTTCTTTATTTGTTAAAAACGGCATAAAGAGAGCAAATTATAAAAAAAATAGTATAACATAAAACCTTGAAGCACTCGTTTTTTAAACTTAAGTTCGTGCTTCAAGACTAGTCTTATGGAAGTTTGTTTTTTATTATACGATTTTAAAACACAACTTAAAACGCAAACAACTCAAATTAGGTCCACACTACCCTATGTCAATAAAAAATAAAGTAAGTTGCCCAAAAATCTCCTTCAATTTTCGCCTCAACACCCTGTATATTACCTTGCCGAAGACCTCGTACGTTTCGTCACTTTTGAGCGACTCCCTCCGACTATAAAAACTACACTCGAGCACCGTCCCCGGCCGCCCATGATTCCGACCGACCTCTTCATCTTCGGCCAACTTTTTCGTGTGTTTAACGCGAACAACTCTCCGATAATTGGTTTCGGTGTCCATCGCGTCGCCACTTCAACCTCGTAATAAACCCATTTCGCGATAAGTCACTTCCTTTTGCGATAGGAAAAGCGCGCCAGCCTCCAGCACTAGAGCTTTTAATGAAAGCTTTCGATATTGCGCGAGCTTACAAACCCAGTCATTTTGATGTTTCTATGGTGACTGTTCACCTGGCGCTTTATCGCGAATTGGTATCGCCCCTCTTACTCACCGTGAAACCGATGCCCACCGTGGCGGAGAAGTTCCCCGATTGGAATCGGCCGGTGTCGAATTTGACCAAGAGGGAGGTCTTGCCGACGCCGCTGTCCCCCAAAAGGATCGTCTGAAGCAAATTTTAATTGTTTGCAATGGGGGGTGAAAGGGGCGGAAGATGGGGTCCTATTACTTGGCACAAAGTTGGGAATATTGATTGAAATTTATTTCGGGCTTTTGATTCCATCAAGGGAGTTTTTAATGATAGAAAGCAGCATCACAAAGTGGCCGCCGAAGGCGATTTCAACTTTAAAAGCCGCTTTGCGGCCACAGCAAGTCCCGATTGTGATAAAGATCAATGTTAGCAATAATTGGGAACTTGTTTAAAAAACTTGCATGACTGAACGCACAGCTTAATCGGGGCTGAAAAATGCTGAAATGGGGATGAAATGGGACGAAATAACCGTCAGTTAAAACAATCATTAATTTATATCGCATCGATTGGCGGTTATTGTACAATTTTAGTTTCCTTTTTTTCGTTTCGTATTCGACGTAACAAGGGATACAAAAAATCATCGTTATTTAGAAAATAACCTTGCCCTATTTTATTTGTATAAAGTAGGTCAAAGTATACGGTGTCAAAAAGCTTAATTTAATAAAAAATCAACTGAAACATTGTGTTAATTTAAACTTTTAGTGATTTATAAACTTTTCAAGGTCATGCGATATTAGTTATAATTTTTGGAAAAATATGACTAAGGGTTTTGTAATTTTTTTTACTTTCAAATACATTCAGAGTGGTAAAAAAGATTGTAAAATATTTCAGGAGGTAATAGTATAAACCAAAAGAAATAAAAAATCTTAATAAACATGGACCCGCAAAGTAAGGGTTTCGGTGATATCAAATTGTTCGTTTTTTAAAACATTTATTTTTAATTAAAAAAAGAGAAGCTTCT